AGGTGGTATTATTCGCTAATGTGCTTATGTTTGTTGGTAGCTAGAATTCGGAGTGTAGGTGAATCCTCAATTGAACCATGCAAAGTAGATGCCACAGGATGTATATGCATAATTTGATCAATCATTGATTACTTCAGTTGTATTTTCAGACTATGAGTGTCTGCAATGTCAAATTATGGTTGCTGAATGCTTCCCAAGTGGCTCAGTTCAAACTTTTCATGTTTCCTTCCTATTTAATTTTGACATTATCTTCTATTCTTATTTCGTAATACCTACATATACCCCTATGAAGATATACAAGTAAAGAGGCCTTGAATTAATTGAATTAAGAAACTACACCTAGGTCCTCTATTCTCTGTCTTTCTTGACTTAAGTCGTGGATTTTTGCGTGACATGCACATCTTCCCTTTGTTGCTTTTGTCAAAATAATTGTCCCTGATGCCAAAGTAATTGGCTCGTTTTGACTTGCTGTATTGCTTTGTGAGTTCGGAGAAACTCTTTGAAGAGTCTGATCTGACCTTACCATGTTGCAGGGCCACAAGAAATGGATAACTGGTATTTCTTGGGAACCTGTACACCTCAGTGCTCCATGTCGCCGCTTTGTAAGTGCAAGTAAAGATGGCGATGCACGGATATGGGATGTTACCACAAGGAAGTGTCTCATTTGTCTCACTGGCCATACACTTGCAATAACATGTGTAAAATGGGGTGGAGATGGAGTTATATACACGGGGTATATTTCTTTAAAGCATTTCACTTCACAGATTGTTGTCATTTGTGTAGTATATTGATCTCAGTGGCGAGCATCAACTTACTGTGATTGGCCCACTTGATGTATCTATTTCTTGAACTTTTGCTGTTTCCTTTGGTGCATAGTTCTCTCCTTTTTTTTTGTGTGTGGGAGCGGTGTGTGTGTGTGTATACACAGAGAGAGAACGAGCCGTTGAACCTAGCTATTAGTTTAAGATATCTTTGATATGGTGTTAGTAACATTTGCTAGTTCATATTCCAGATCTCAGGACTGTACAATCAAGGTATGGGAAACCACGCAGGGGAAGCTAATACGTGAATTGAAGGTGAAGTCTATAACTTTTGATTATTGTGGGACTTTTCAACTGCTCTCATGCATGTGCCGTGACTTTGTATTATTATTCATCACCTGTATAGTGTATTCAGTGAGGTTGGTATGTGCTTGGTGGGCTTTGTGTATTTCCTTGAGATCCCTGTGAAGCTTTCTTTCAATTTACATTTGAAGTAGAAAGGAAATTTTCTGGCTGCTCAAAAGTGAGGCTTGTGATGTACCATCATTTGTCTTTGTAGTCCATTGTGACATGTGGACAATTTTTGAGCATCATTGTATTTCATTTTAAGCAACACTCGGTCTAAGGTGGAATAGGTGTACTCCTATAGATTTTGAAGCTAGTGGATGTGCATATATGAAAAGTGGAGTTTCTCGCCTCCCATGGAGTAAGATGTCCTGGAAATTATGACTAGACGGGTAGTTTCTTATTTATGCTCCTACCATTTCATGCTATGCAGGGTCATGGACATTGGGTAAATTCTCTAGCACTGAGCACTGAATATGTTCTTCGAAGTGGAGCTTTTGATCACACCCATAAACACTTCGCATCTCCTGAGGAAATGAAAAAGGTAATCTTTTGGTATTCCTAGTCCCAAAGCTTCTTATGTGCTTAATTTAATCTGCCCTCAATATTGCAAGGATTCACTTCTATCAACTTTCGTTGGATTAAATTAAGACTTCACCCCCACACATCCTTGTGGAGATACTCTGCTGTGGAAGCGTGAAATGTTTTTGTATAATAACTCAAAACTTATGGTGAGAGTGAGAAGTCACAGGAAGGTTTGATGTTCAAAAATATACAAGCTGAGCTCATCTCATCCATGATCCATTAGGCTAGTTCAACGACCTCCTCAGTCTGGGAGTGCTGCAGTATGACATTTGATGAATTTGCCTCAATTCCAAGCGCGTTGTAGTCTGCTATATGATCCTAGCTATCATTTGAACCCATTTCATTCCTATAAAAAAAATTCAATGTCAGATAATAACTAGCAACTATTTTTTCAGTTTTCTTGTGAGACTAGATGTTGACACAATAGTGAACATAGTAAACTTTTAGAGCAATAGTAGGCTGTATAATTTTGGAACTCGCAGCTTAGTCCTTAGAAACATTTGCAAAGGTGAGATATCTACCGATTAAGCATCTCGTACAAGATTGTTTGTATCCTTTTTGAGTGAGTGCCAGCTCAGTACTTGAAACATTTGCAGAGGTGAGATTTTCTCTCAATTAAGCAATTCGTACAAGATTGTTTGCCTCCTTTTGTTGTACCTTCTACATTTTGCTAAAAAGCTAGGGTGACCGAAGAGATCCTTAATAGAGATGCCAGCTAGAAAAAGGATAAATCTATCTTTTCAGTTCTGTTGATGATCAACAAAAACATAAGCTCTGCATATATATGAGGATTTGATAGGAAAGCGATGGCAACAAATAGAAAGGTACAAAAGCTGGGGGCCTCTCTAACATATAGAGAAAAAGAACCTCACTGTTTTGACTCTTGGAACTCAGATGGAAGTTAACTAAATCGGGTGTCTTTCACTGAAATGGGTCTAAACCTAAAATTTAGGGGGTTCTTCTATCTTTTGCCTTCCGCTTTCCTCAACTACTGAGATTATGCATGCCTACATCTTGTGGATCTCGAAGAATCCCATATTCTCATTTAGCAGGTGGCAGGGCAAGAGTATACACCAACGAGAGGCAAAGAGCAAAAGAAGAAGAACGAAAATCTTTGATGCTATTTAGTTGCTCCAAATTGTAATTTCTCCATCCTCACAGTACTTAACATTGCTCTTGTTTCATCGCCAGGTAGCACTTGAAAGGTACAACAAAATGAGAGGTAATGCCCCGGAGAGGTTGGTATCAGGATCAGATGATTTCACAATGTTTCTATGGGAGCCTGCTGTCAGCAAGCACCCAAAAACTCGCATGACAGGTCATCAACAGGTTATAACAATCTTTCTGTGCTGTAAAGAATGGTTTTTCTCCATGTGCATGTGTGTTTTGACGGTGAACATGGCCTTCATTTTTTGTTCTAAGCATCAAACCATGAATTTCAATTTTTGCAGCTGGTTAATCACGTTTATTTTTCTCCGGATGGTCAATGGATAGCAAGTGCCTCATTCGATAAGTCAGTGAAATTATGGAATGGAACCACAGGCAAATTTGTTGCTGCATTCCGAGGCCATGTTGGACCTGTATATCAGATAAGGTTAAAATTTTCCATAAAACTCAAATCTTCCGTTACTTTAACAGTCAACTGTTAGTTACTATCCTTGTGTTTTGCACAGCTGGTCAGCTGACAGCAGGCTACTTTTGAGTGGGAGCAAAGATTCAACCTTGAAGGTATGTGTTTGCATTACTCTTGGTTCTTGTCCTGTTAAAAACAAGTCATTAAGAAAACTATTTATGTCTGTATTTAGGTTTGGGATATCCGGACAAAAAAATTGAAACAAGACCTTCCCGGCCATGCTGATGAGGTAAGCTTCTGCCACAGGCATTTTCAGTCTCTTTCTCTACAGAACTTTTAGATAACTTTGTCTATCTCTGAACTTGGAAGGTTTTCGCGGTTGACTGGAGTCCAGACGGCGAAAAAGTAGCATCTGGTGGTAAAGACAGAGTTCTGAAGCTATGGATGGGATAGAAACAAGGGTGACTCCACCCCTATGCCAATGAAGCTCTTGTTTCTAGCCCTGGAAATTCAAGGCCCCTACTTTTATTTATTAGATATAAAATATGTAATTCAAGTAGTAATCACCATTCTTATTATTTTAAAATGATATAAGTGAGTCTTTTACCAGCCATTAATCACATAATTCCTACTTTATATTGTATTTTAGGGATTTGGTTGAGGTAATTATAGATAAGAGTGGTAGATAGTTAAGGTCTTCTCTAGTTATTTTCCTCTTGTTCACCGAAGCTTAATTGAATCAATTTGTTTTTACAAGTCTGGCTTTATAAAGTTTCTTCGTACAATTTCCCACAATAGAGTTGTTTCAGTCTAATCAAATCGTGACACACTCTAGATTGGAACTGAAAATGTATGTGCAAGCTGGAATATCAAATTCACTTGTTGAATTCCAATCGCCTCTAACGTTGATTTTTCACTCAGTTATTGGATTTTAATTGCCTCTAACGTTAATTTTTGAGTTAAAAATGCCCCTGGTCTTTGTGAGGGGAGGGAAGGTAAGGAAACAACTTTTTGATAACCCAATGATTTTGGTAATTCTTTATATGTTTGACATTGATGCAGTATGAACAAACATGTTAGATGCTACGATTATTTACAAAAAAAATTGAGGTTGTAATATATAACGAAGTTCCATACATATTGAATTTTTGAAGAAATATTCAAAGTTACAATCCTATATTTTTTTCTTAAATTATCATCTCTAGCTATCTTAATTTTTACCACCAAGTAGAATGTTAAAAATATATACCTATTGAATTCATAAATATATTTTGAAGTAAAAAAAAGAACTTGACTTAGTCCTATTTTTCATCGTTTAGTGATTCAATATTTTGTCACTATATAAAATATCATTTTTTTTCATATTTGAATAATTCAATATATTTTGAAGCAAAAAAATGATTTAATTCACTCGAGTTTTAAATGGTTAAAGTAATGTTTTAATGCCTTATTGACTTGGAAATAATAAAAGAGAGGAAAATAGTAAGAAAAAGAAAAGAATTTAGAATATGTTGTTTAAGAATACGTTTGGTTTGACTTAAAATTGATAAAACCTATTTTTAAGCATTATTAGCTTTTGAAAGTGTTTAAAAGGTTAGAAATAACCTAAAATAAATTTAAAATGACTTTAGAAAAAGTTGATTTCTACCTTGAGTTTATTTTTTTTTAAGTCAATCCAAATTGATTATAAATTAGCCAATTGATTTTATCTGTCTAATAAAATAAATTCGGTTTTGCAAAATTAGGAATTAAACCCGAATTCAGCAAACCATCCTTCTTCCTTCCGCGCTTTCTCTCTTCACTGAAGCCTCCTCAGTCTTCAACAAATTTAGGGTTCCAAATTGTACTTTAAACTTGTTCAATTAATTTCATCAATGGCGTCTCATAATCACATGGACGATGTAACTTCTTTTTTTCCTTTTTCAATTTTTAGGGTTTTCTTGTCTAATAGTAATTACTTCTATTTCCTTTATACTATAATGTTGAAGAATTTTCGTTTTGGGGAATTGTCAGGACCTCGATTTTGGTGGAGATTTTGCCGCCACTAGGCGTTCAGGTTTGCTAATTCTTTGCCATTGTCATCTTTACTGCAAGCTTTTGAGTATATTATTTGATTGCAAGTGATTTTAGGTACCAAACGAAGCTTTGGAGACCTTGACGATGATGAAGACGATATTTTTGGCTCTAAAAAGGTGTTTTGCTTATTTACTCTTATTTAAGTTTGTCTTGTAAGCTATACTTTCAAACAAATCATGGGATACATGGGTAGTTGGTTGCTCATAAACACTCTCTAAGTTAAAATTTATGTGATATGCTTCTTTTCAGACATCATGAATTTTGTAACATAATTAAGAGCCCTTTTTGATACTGTCAAGGATTTAAATCCTTCAAGAATATTTAACTTCTTTGACTGATCTGTGATTCTTTTCAACTAGAAAAATAGGAGTCATAGGGACTATTAGCATGGCAGTTTAAGTCAATATTTATCATTTACCTCTTTCAATACTAGGGTAATTTGTTGAAAGTAGAGGAAACAGCACCTGGTGCAGCAACAGGGATGATCTTGTCTCTTCGCGAGAGGTATGGTATTGGATGCTTGTTGCACATCTGTGAACGTTTTTGGATTTAATTGCTTATGTTTGTCACTTTCTCACTGTTTTTTGTGCTTTGTTATTGCAGTCTACAGGACTGTAAGGATACCCTAGCATCATCTCAGGTGTTTATCATCTTACATTTTTGTTTTTTTTTCCGATGGTTATATCCAAAGTAATCTATCATCCTCCTTTTCAACATTATGCATTCATGTTGTATGATTTTTTAAATATTTATATTAATTATCAGAGCCTTGAAATATTCATGTTGGATTATCTTTTTTTTTTTTGATAAGAATGGTATGTTGGATTATCTTACTTTCTCTCAGTTAATATTCAATGTTTATATAGGGTTTTAATTAGCTTTAGAAGTAAGCACATGTAGTATCTTTCATGGGAAGTTGTTTTGTGTTTTCTCTGATACTTCACTCAAATCATTCTTAAATTTATTTTAGATGCTTTCGTGGTATAGGATAAAATGTCTTTCTTCCTTTGCTCATCAGATAATAATATGCTTTAGCTAACATGTTGGCTGGATGGTGATGATTTACTGACTACCTATCTTTCATCAGCATAAATTGGTCTTCCGTTTCCAACCTTCTCTTTTGAATTGACTCTGCTACTCATACGTCTTAAAATCTCCGAGGGGCTAAGATTTCTAAGTTCACAGTTTGAAGTCTCATTTTGATGTTTTACACCCCTTCCTTGATTCTTATGCTAACGCTAATTTGTTCAAACTTTGTGTGGGGGCCTTGTGGAACTGCCCCACACTTAATGGGGCCTGAATCATGCTGTTGAATGACCAAAATTTTGATTGAAATCTCTTTAAACTTATAACTGCCTATCTTGTTTCAGACAGAACTTGAATCTGCAAAATCTGAAATACAAAAGTGGCGCTCTGCGTTTGAAAAGGAGCTGTTCATACCTCCTGGCATGACACCTGGTATTGTCCCTTTTAGCATCTCTGTACAGTCACTTAAAATCCTGTTCCTTTTCTTCTAGTCTTTTTCGATCTTCGTGTTTTCCCCATTGCTGCTGTATGTTTGAGAGTCATAAATCATTAAAAAAACAATAATCATATTTTAGTTCCCTCTGTCCCATTTGATAGATGATATGGTTTTGAAAGGGTCTGGAGTTATATGGGAAAGTTTGACTTGTTTGTTTAAGAATAGTAGACTAGTGTGAGGCTTCCACCATCACATCACTGCTTAAAGTTGAATTTCTTGAAATCCTCTGCTATTTATGAATCATGTTCAACATTTAGGGCCACCCTTTAAATGGAAAGATCTTTCATGTTAATTGAGATGGAGTGAGTTACTTTTTCCAATGAAGAGAATTACCTGTGCTCTTATTTGCAGAACCCAAGTTTGTGGTCAGTTATCTTCAGAACCTCAGATCATCTGAGGAGTCATTGCGTGAACAGGTTTTGTTTTTTGATTATTCCTCTTCATTTGGTCATTCCTAAGATATCATTGAATTTTTTTCTAATCATTATCTCATCTTTGCAATCTGTAGTTGGAAAGAGCAAAGAAAAAGGAGGCTGCATTTATTGTAACTTTTGCCAAAAGAGAGCAGGAGATCGCAGAGTTGAAGGTAAAGTTGTCCATGGACTTCAAATGATAGATTGCATCTATTATATATTAATTTTGAACTATCTTGTATACAATTTGTTCTTTTTTTGCGGCTATCTCAACAAAATTGAGCAGGATATTTAAACATGTTATCTTACTGTGTGGTGCAACCGTGCAAGAAAACTATATGAAGCAAAAGATACTGATTTTCACTAAGAAATTGGAAATTGAGTTTGTCGATGCTATCTGAGTTGCCAATTGTAAATTGTGCCTTACTCTGAGAAAATCTCTTGTCTTTATGGTGTGCAATGAAGCCTGCAACTTACATATTAGCGTAAACAAAAGCCTACTGCTGGTCAGCTGATCTTTCATTTTCAATTTTGTCAATTGAAGAGATCTGTGATCTAATCAATACTAGCAATGCCCTTATGTTATAGAATCTAGTTTTATCCTTGACAGGACCTCTGATCAGATGTCACATCTTTCTTCTTTTGGGGTGAGGGTGAGTAAGAAGGCAATGGAATGTTGTTGCTGAATGTTGAGTGTGTTGTTTTTGAAATCCTTTTTTGTAAAGCATATAGTATTGGGTGTTTTTTCCTTTATCTTTATCTTTATCTTTAGTTGCCTTTGTTTTAAATGTGTACATCCAATTCATTGTTTTCTCTTTACTTTGTGCTGGTTAATTCTTTCTTCTTACTTTTCCTACTGGTAAATGTTTTAGTCTGCAGTTCGGGACCTTAGAGCTCAACTCAAGCCGCCATCTATGCAGGTAATAGTAGTATCTTTGCTTACTCATAGTTTAAAACCCTAAAAAAAGGAGGGAGAGAGAGACTGAGAGAGTATGTCTATGTGTTATTCCCTGCTGTTCAATTGTTTTGGTGATTATTTCCAATTTGCTCCTTTAAAAAGGAGTTCTATGTGTACCTCTCCTATGTGGTTTGCGAGCTATGCATAGGAGCGGGGGTTTTTACCCTGTGCGCATCCAAAGGGGTTGCGGCTGCGGGTTTCCCTTGTCATAAAAAAAAAGAGTTCTATGTGTGTAATCTGTATGTGTTGTATGTAGCTTGTTTTTGTTTCACACAGTAAGTTGCTTGTTCTGGTTCATTTGGTCGTTGCTTTGCTAGTTTTATGCCTTCTGCTTAAATAATAAAATTGTCTGCCGGTGCTAATTCTAGTTACAGAATCTTACTTCCTACTCCATCCGCTATCAACCTTATTTACATATATTAGCCTGAGAATTTCCTGTACCCTTCGGGGTGGCCCAGTGGTTTGGGCTTGGGACTTCCATGTAGGAGGTCTCAAGTTCGAAACCCCTTGCCAGCAAAAGCAAGGGGTTTGCTTCTGGGTCAAGTTCGTCGCACCGGGCTTGCCTAGTGCGGGTTACCTCTCCTGTGGGGTTTGCGAGCTATTGCATAGGAACGGAGTTTTACCTGTGCGCACCCAAATGGTAGCGGCTGTGGGTTTCCCTTGTCATAAAAAAAATAAAATAATTTAATTCCTGTGTTAACACTACTAGTGCTTGTCTCAAGGCTCTAGAATGAGTAGAATCCCTACCAATTCCCAACATACTCAGTATGCTAGAAAAGCACATAGGATATCATTAGGGTTGTAAATTGTAAGTTAGCTTCTTCCTTTTTTTTTTTTTTGGGGGTGGGGGGGGGGGGGGGGGAAT